TGCTGTCCCCGGCGCTGTGCCGGGCCCTGTCACAGGTGGGTTGTTCAGTGACTGTACCCTGGCCATGGCAGCGCTGATCCCCTCGGTAATTCACCAGATGAGGTGATGATGACCGGAGGGGGTAAAGCCGCAGGATTGGGAGCTCTGCAGGGCAGGGGGAGAGCACCGAGGGGGAGGAAGGGGCTGGAAGGGAAAAGCACTGATTTGGGGGACTGGTGTGTTCCCACCACCCATTTCTTCAGAGGAAGGTGCCAGGGAGGGGCTGCTGTGGGAAGGTTTGCCAACAGCATCACCTGGGCAGGTGCCCTGTGCAGTGCTGGGGGTGCCCATTGTGTGCCTCTCACCCCCATCTCCATTTCTGTATCCGGCCTTTATTTTCCCTTTGTCTCCTTCCCAGGGAAAGTCCTCAGTTTTGGGACTCACCTTGTCACCCCTGCAGCTCTGTCCCTTGCCCTTGGGGAGGGAGAGGCTCTTTGGCCTCCTGCTCTTGCCCCAGTCAAACCCCAGTGCCTTCCTTCCCCCGAGCTGTGCCTGTGCCAGGGGCTGGTGCTGCTGCCCTGGGGTGGACCAGAGAGTTGGGAGGGCAGGAGTTATTGGAATTAAATTTATGGAGAAATAACAAACTACTGTAAATATCTTTTTGTTTGTTTTTCTATTGTCAAATAAAAGTTTTTTTAGTTTTGGTTGTTATTTTTAAATATGAGCTGTGTGTCAGAGTGAGATGTGTCCTTTGTGGGTGTCTCACTTGGTTCTCCACCCCCGGGAGAAACCCCTGGGCCACCCTGGAACAGCACCCGGGTGTCCCCCACTGTCCATGGCCTTTGTGCTCTGGGTGAGGGATGTGGGAATGTGGGGTGGGGCACATTCCCATGGGGAGTGGGGGGCTGGAGCCAGGGCAGGGCCTGCGTACTTCCCAGGGTGGTTTGGGTTGGAAAGACTGTAAAGACCATGTAGGCACAGCCCCCTGCCATGGGCAGGGACAGCTACCACTACCCCAGGGTGCTCCAAGCCCTGTCCAGCCTGGCCTTTGATCCTTCCAGGGATCCAGGGGCAGTGACAGCTTCTCTGGGTAACCTGTGCCAGGGCCTGCCCACCCTCACAGCGAGGAATTTCTTCCCAATAGCCTTGATCTCTGATAATGCGCAGCCATTCCCATCCCTTCTCACAAGTCCCCCTCCAGCTCTCCTGGAGCCCCTTTAGGCCCAGGAAGGGGCTCTGAGATCGCCCCAGAGTGTTCCCTTCTCCAGGCTGAACACTCCCAGCTCTCCCAGCATTTCCTACATCTCAAACTACTCCACTGCCAACCCTGCCCAAAA